TTTATTACAGTGTGCTTTGGGATTCTACTATTTATTCTCACGTTATATCTTTAATCACAGAGTATTCTAGAGGTATACGATCTGATCTATTGGTTTTATCCTTTAATTACATTTGTTTGAGGTTTCCATTGTTGACCTCATGTTATTACATTTTTCATAGGAAGTTATACTATTCCACCATCTGATATGTTTAGAATATCTGAATTATACAGTTCTCTAGGGTTTTACCCTTGATCCTATGCTTCTAAGTTTATCACAGAATATTTAGTAGTCTATCAGAAAAAAATACCATAAAAATTTCACCACAGATTATTTAAGGGTGTATCATCCGGTTTCATATTATATCCTTAATAACAGAATGTTCTAAAGATATATACTTTGATCTCTTTCTATATCGTCGATACCAATGTTCTAAGATATTATAATTTTCTTTAAAACGTCAAAATGTTATGCTGTCAAGGGTATTTTATCATTTGATATTATTCTAACCTATGCTGCACCATTGATCATAGAATGTTTTGGAGTCTCTATCCGACATAAAGTTGTACCTTTGACCACAGGGAGTTTTAAAGCTTAAAATATCCCAGGTTCTGCCTCATCTTCTAATGCTTAATCATTTGTCTTTTGCTTATAAATTAAGGTAATGGGTATATCTGAAGTTATTGAGGATCTATATAAAACTAGATGTTGTACATGCAATTCAAACCTTTTTATGTATAAGTTAATAAGGAAGCTTCAGTAACTGTGCAATAAACTGTAAACCCGTCTATATTAAAATTGATGAAAAGCATCATGAGATCATGAAATGCACTCCAAGAAAACCCAACTGTCAGGAATAGGAAGAGGAAATAAGAAGGAAGTACATTCTCCTTACACTGCATGATCAAGAGAATAAGATGAGGTAAAGCGGTAAACCCAGTATAAGATGTTGTTACATAGAGTAAGGGTAAGCTGTGTGGTACACTTTCCACAACAATTTGTGATAAAAAGATAAAGAGTGATTGATTACAGGCGATGGATCCCTTAATAACATTGCGGTTAAAGATAAAAGTGGGATTGAAAGGTAAGTTCCATTAGAGTTTTGTATTTCTTTGAAATATTGAGATACCCTTGAAAACATAATATTCTTCGAGTTTATCATATACCTCACAATACATTTGACCAAAAGGTAGTTTTAAATCTATCACATTATTTTACACACTTGATCACAAGAAACTGTTAATGTTCTATCACTTAATCATGCCCCTGAAAGCAGGTCATCCCGAAAACAAATTTCCAGAAAATAAAATCCAGTTATAATTACAAATAATCATTTTCATGATTTCGCAAAACACCTAGTAAACATGTGCCTTTAAGTTATCTTAGGACTGCTTTAAATAAAAAATCGAGTTTATAATATGTTTTCTTTCAGTTATCAAACCTCGGAAAAGCATGAACAAGTTTTCATTGGCAATATGTAAAAGCACTGTATATACGAAAATGAGTTGAAACCAATGGTTCTAATAAACATAAAATTATTACCACAATTGCAGTAAGTCAATGTGCGAAGAAATGATAGCGATGAACTTCTGAATTAGCGTTCATTAGGGATGTGATAAATGCAATAGAATAAAAACTAACAACTGGGGTAAGAAAACCTTACAGTCGTCGAGAAAAAATAAAACAAATAATTTTAAATAAAAGTAATAGCTTATATAACAATTTTGGTTACATACAACACTTACCATTCCCTGACATAGACTAACAGAGACACGGGATCGACTGTCCCCTTCAACGTAGCCATTGTAGTAACACCTTTCTTTAAAAGGACGTATCCATAGCGTTGAATTTTCGTCTAATGACTCCACAGTCTGCTGGTGAAATTGGGGAGCTATAAAATTGTTATCTTTTTTAACTTGACAAAGAATGTTTTGTTATAAGCAACCCATCTATAAAATACTTTTTGTTCCCAGTCTTCTAAACTCCGCCGGAGGTAGTTTTGACCACCAGGAAAAGGATGTCCACTTGCATCGAGACGAACAGGGTGCACTAGCTGAGATTTAGTGGACAACGAACTTGGCTGGGAATCTGAAAATAATTGGTTAGATATCATATCACCAATCACATATAAACAAAAAAAATACAAGATTTAAATCAGATCTTGGAGATTTTAACCAATTTTTTTTTACATAATTATCTATTTAAAAGTTAGTATATTAGCCTCGTAAAATCTTAAAAAGTAAATAAGATCAGATATTGTTCTTGTGTAAAACTAGATTTTGATTACCTTCGTAAAAAACAGCAAGTCATATTCCCCATTTTTACGTGGTGATTCCGTAGCATTACGTTAAGCTTTTACTTGAGAGCATCAGTAGTCTGAAGATGCCCATTTGAGAGATTGACTTAGAGGAGAATTTTGTTCGATATTATGTCATCAAGAAATTAATGTCGATATTTTTATATGAAAAAACTCGAACAACTTATATATCAAACAAAACATTTATTAAATGAAATAGTCTCCATTCTTAT